AGATACTGGGAATGCGGCAAATATTTCATTCGGATCAGTTGCAAGCAATTTCCTTCATTTTGTACCGCACCATGTCTTGGTTAAGGTCTAGAGTAAAAGCTGAACCGGCTGGATAACCGTTGAAAAGAATTTGTACAAGAACATTCGTGTGATACAAAGAGATATGGTTATTGCATATTATCATAGTTTGATATGATTGTAGATTAACAAGTTGGAATAAATGTGCTCCAATCGGGCTTGAAATCCATTTTTGTGGGGCTTCCTCCTGCTATACTTTTCTATTTTTGCTGTTTTTCTTTCTTTCAAAGATGATTTTGTTTCACCAAACAGTTTTGTTTTACCAGTTTTTGTTGTACCCAAATCGTTACGCTTACGTGGACTTATGAGTATTTTCCGTGGGAACATTGTGAACAGCGTTTTATGTTGCAGAAATTCACTTTGTTTTGCAGAGAGGGCATGTTAAAAAAGTTTGTGCCGTCATTTCGGATTGTCCGCCAATCCTTCAGACTGTTGTCAAGTGAAAGTGATGGGGACGATAAAAAGGTACGTTTTTGTTAGTGGTGTTTTTCGGAGATCGTTTTGATAATTAGAGGGTTTGCCTGTAGAGCACTATGTCCTAGCTTCATTATGAACACTTCTATTTTACGCCCTCGTAAGGTACGTCGTGATCATACCTGTCAGTCTTTCCTAGTGGCGAGAATTTCTTTCAAATTTTATTTGCTTCCCGGAATTTCCCCGAATTTCTCCAAAAAGAGGGCTTGTTTGTAAGACAAGTGAGTACGCAAGGATAAAATGTGACGAATTAACTGAAAAATTTCTTTCTTAAATAAATGAGTTTGAGGAATTCCCTCCTCAACCGTCCCTCTTCAGAAAAGAGTGTTTATTGTAGTGTTTAGAATCGGTTTTAACATGTGAGATGGAGAAGGGAGTGGTAGTGCGGTGTCAAAAATAAGTCCAAGTTCACTGTTGTTTCGTCGATACGAGTTTTCGACTTCCAGCGACCACCAGGCAGCGCTAAAGATGTGCTAGGTGACGATCTGCTTGATGCTGTCAATGCCGTGGTTGAGGACCTTCATGAAAGTGATCCCACCACGAAAAAAGCGTTAGTTCATATTTCAATCTTGTAACTTTTGATATTGACTATCGTTACTTTCTAAGCAACACTGTTTATTGTTTCTTTATCTTTATCAGCTGTTATTTTAGAACTAAAAACACGTTGATCTCGAAATTGATGTCTCATGAGAAGGCGACGTTTGATGAGGCAACAGGAGCACAAATGCAGGAAATGCTCGATGACAAAGTTATTCAGGGTTTGCTCAGTTCCGTGGCTGCTGATGCAAAACCGCCCAGTACAGTACCAAATAAGTTAGTTCAACCTTAGTTTTGTTTTTGCTTCTTTCAATTATCACATTATTCAGAGTTAGCAGAACAAGGAGCGGCCGAGCTTTACTCCTCTTCTGGTTAAGGAAATTTCTATCAAGGCGTGTTCAGGACAGAGGTCTTTGCATTCAGCTTTGGATTATCGTGCGTTCTTTTCTGTTTAAGAGTGGTATCGCAAGCTACAGAAGCACAGAAATTTTAGCGGAAAATGCATACTGTTAACGAAGACGAGCGGTTAGTCAGTCGCCCAAAGAAAAGCTCACACTAGAAGGGTATAGAGGTAGGTAAAAGATTAAATTTTTGGTAACAGCGTGTCACGAAGAAAGAGTCATCTCTCAAGCTAACTTTTATTTTAGCCTCTCACATTTTAAGGTTGCCGAAGAATCCGAGAAACAGCAAAAAGTTAAAAGGGCGGAAGAGGAACAACGATTTTACGATTACGCTTACCAAATGGCTGAGTTAGTCCTCTAGTGTGGCTTCCATTTCTTTCCTCCTATTGAGATAGGATTTTGTTTTATTTTAGAAAAATGTTATACCAAGAACGACATTCTTGGCGATGGAAGTAAAGCTCGTAAAACAATCAAGCCTGATCCAGCGGTGCCGTCATTGCTGAAAGGATCAAAACGGGCTTGGAATATGGAAGAACTTAGAGGGATGTCAGGATCACAGCCTAGGATTCTGGTCAGAATGGGATCATAGGGCGGCTAGGTACGCTTTCACGTTAAAGCTTTTTGAAAAAAATAGTGTTCGGTCATTAAAAGTTCCGGTTGGTAACTAGCTGTTGATTTTATGAGGGATTCGTTAACCACGACAGCAAGGGCTTTCGAATGAAGAAAAAAGTAAAATATTGGTGAATATCGCTTTGCGTCATATCATACACCTATCAAAATCTCTTCAAATTATTAGCGAGCGCCAGTTCTTTCTGCAGGGGTAGGTTAAGGTTTGGCTTCCTGACGAGGTGCCCGTCGTGATTTAAATTTTGGTCGTGGCATCACGTAGCATCAGCATTTAAAAGCACCAGGGGCGGTATTCCTATCCTTCCCGCAGACTAGGGTTAAGAAAGAGTCCTTTAAATTTATTTGTTTTCAACGACACTGTTCCCTACTTTCCGCTTTTGTTTGTTATTACACACATAAATACATTACAAATATGCAGTTCGTCAGGGCGATTCCTGATGGGAAGACAAAGAAATTTCTAAGGGAATTTTTCCTTCCTTTGGCATAGGGGAAAAATACGGCCCTAGAAAAAAAAACGTGTTATCCTTCAAATTAATTCTTCACCGAGGCTATCGCGACAAGCCTCCTTCAGGCACTAGCCGAGTTCCCACAGCGCTCAAACTAGAAATTTCATTAAGCTTGATAACGCATACTGAATTCCTTGACGCAATTGTTAAAGACAGCCATAATATCAGATTTGTAGCGGTTGGAATCATTAAGAGAGTTGCGGTAATTCAGAATCATGAATCAATCGCTCGGACCAGAGAATTCGTTCGAAGAGCAAATAGAATGGACAGAACAAGGGAAACAGTGGCCATATCCGATTGATAATGAATACATGTTGGGGCACGAAGCTGAGGTTTGCTTTAGCAAAATTACTGAATTCACCGATGAGTTTGCTTTCATTCAATTCAACTACTTCAATTTTTCTGATTAGGTTCCATTCTATGAGCACGTTTTCTTGGAGAGGCACCTCGCTGGCCTCGGGCTTCCAAAAGATGGTCCTATAGCGCACTTCATGGAGTTGGTAAGTATTACTATAAGGCAGAGGCTTCGAGCTTGTAATTTTTACCAGTTCGTGGTTTGTGAGTCGACCAATAATACATACTCATTTCTCGCTCTGTAGGTTTGCGTTGGTTTGTCGAAGAATCCATACATGACGATTGAGAAGAAAATGGACCATTTGAAGTGGTTTGCAAACTTCTTCAATGAAGAGAAGCAAAAACTGATCAAGAAATTGCATGAGGAAGAGCAGCTAGCTGCGCAGCAATCCTAGTGATATCGACTACTTCTTAGAGCTTAGCTATTAGGTTTCGATTATTGTTCCGTTATTCTTAGTTTGTTGTTGATCTGGAAATGTTTCTGTAACATATGTATGTCAAGT